GTGCTGGGTTAGCACAGGGTGCTCTGGTAGCAATGGGTGGAGTTCATACAGGGTGACAGTGCTGGGTTAGTACAGGGTGGGCTGGTAGCAATGGGTGGAGTTCATACAGGGTGACAGTGCTGGGTTAGTACAGGGTGCTCTGGTAGCTATGTGCGGAGTTCATACAGGGTGACAGTGCTGGGTTAGCACAGGGTGCTCTGGTAGCAATGGGTGGGAGTTCATACAGGGTGACAAAGGGGTTAGTACAGGGTGCCTGGTAGCTAAAAGGAGTTCATACAGGGTGACAGTGCTGGGTTAGCACAGGGTGCTCTGGTAGCAATGGGTGGAGTTCATACAGGGTGACAGTGCTGGGTTAGTACAGGGTGGGCTGGTAGCAATGGGTGGAGTTCATACAGGGTGACAGTGCTGGGTTAGTACAGGGTGCTCTGGTAGCTATGTGCGGAGTTCATACAGGGTGACAGTGCTGGGTTAGCACAGGGTGGTCTGGTAGCTATGTACGGAGTTCATACAGGGTGACAGTGCTGGGTTAGCACAGGGTGCTCTGGTAGCTATGTGCGGAGTTCATACAGGGTGACAGTGCTGGGTTAGCACAGGGTGCTCTGGTAGCAATGGGTGGAGTTCATACAGGGTGACAGTGCTGGGTTAGCACAGGGTGCTCTGGTAGCTATGGGTGCAGAGTTCATACAGGGTGACAGTGCTGGGTTAGTACAGGGTGGGCTCGTAGCTATGGGTGCAGAGTTCATACAGGGTGACAGTGCTGGGTTAGTACAGGGTGGTCTGGTAGCTATGTGTGGAGTTCATACAGGGTGACAGTGCTGGGTTAGCACAGGGTGGTCTGGTAGCTATGGGTGCAGAGTTCATACAGGGTGACAGTGCTGGGTTAGTACAGGGTGGGCTGGTAGCAATGGGTGGAGTTCATACAGGGTGACAGTACTGGGTTAGCACAGGGTGCTCTGGTAGCTATGGGTGCAGAGTTCATACAGGGTGACAGTACTGGGTTAGTACAGGGTGGTCTGGTAACTATGTGCGGAGTTCATAAAGGGTGACAGTGCTGGGTTAGCACAGGGTGCTCTAGTAGCAATGGGTGAAGGACCATGGCAGTGACCATGCAGAGTTATGGGATGACAGTGCTGAGGTAAATGGGAGCTGTCACCTATAGCGATGTTTGTTTTTTGCTGACACTATTGTTTTCCTTTAAGGCATAGGCATTAAAGGAACACTATAGTGCTGGATGTTTAGGTGTCAGTCTCCCCTTAGAAGGGAGTTAAAACATATTTACTTTTTTCTCCATTGCCGTCATGGCTGAGCTCTTCAATCTTTCATATGAAAGCATTGGGAGGCTATTGCGCATGCGTTACAAAACGCAGCACTGCGCCAATCCGTATCTGTCTATGAGGAGCATTCAGCATCTCTATGCTGAGTGTAGAGACGCTGAATGTAGGTCCTGCAAAGATTGCAGGGTCTAACCCAGGAAGTCCCTCTAGTGACCATGTGAGTGACTGCCACTACAGGTATTACTAGGTAGCAATATAAACACTGCCTTTTTCCTGAAAAGGTAGCTCTTACATTGCGCAGCCTGTAGGGACAGGCTATAGACACCAGAACCACTACATTAAATTGTATTGGTTCTGTTGACTACACTATCCCTTTAACTTAATTCATTTGAATCCACATCAGAAATGATTGCAATCTGTTACAAGAAGAAAAAAATAAAAAGGCGTGGATTTCTACATTTTAATTTTATTTTTCACAGCCTACATACCTATTTGTTAAACCTAGGGATTAGAATACGTGATATAGAGAAGTAACAGCTCCCCTTTAATTTAAGGTTAGTCTGCTTTATCTGGATATAGAAGAGTCACTGGGCAGCATATGACTGCTGTCAGAACATGCAGTGAAAGCTGTTAATAGACTCTGTGAAGTCAATAAAAGAAGACCATAGATCAGCAGTTTTTTAACCATAGAATACAGTTTGTGTTAAGAAGATTTACTTTTATTGCCTGATGCAAATCCTAATATTTATTTATTTAATCCCCATCAATTAAACATTGCCGAAGTAGAGCTGTTAAATGAAATGCTATGTGAAATATTTTGATATGAAATGCTCATGCTAGTGTCATGTCGTTCATTATTTTTATTTATTTATGTTCTCCTGATAGGTTACTCCAAAAGTGACATTTTCCCATCCAACGAGCACTCAGCAGAAGACCCAGAGAGGCTTGGAACCTTTCACACCTTTGAGCTCAATAAACTTTGAACGTACAGGAATTTTACACCAGGATGACTCGGCCCAGCTCTCCTATTGCAGTGGCTTACAGGGGCCAGGCTTGGACAGTGACTTTGGTGTGAGTGCAGGTCAGTATATGCTACTGGGCCCTGAGCTGGAGATTGGTGATGGGCTGCAGAGCCCTGGGCCCTGAGCTGGGACTGGTGATGGGCTGCAGAGCCCTGGGCCCTGAGTTAGGGACTGGTGATGGGCTGCAGAGCCCTGGGCCCTGAGTTAGGGACTGGTGATGGGCTGCAGAGCCCTGGGCCCTGAGTTAGGGACTGGTGATGGGCTGCAGAGCCCTGGGCCCTGAGTTAGGGACTGGTGATGGGCTGCAGAGCCCTGGGCCTTGAGTTAGGGGACTGGTGATGGGCTGCAGAGCCCTTTCCCTGAGTTAGGGACTGGTGATGGGCTGCAGAGCCCTGGGCCCTGAGATGGGCTGCAGAGGAGCTGGTGATGGGCTGCAGAGCCCTGGGCCCTGAGTTAGGGACTGGTGATGGGCTGCAGAGCCCTGGGCCCTGAGTTAGGGACTGGTGATGGGCTGCAGAGCCCTGGGCCCTGAGTTAGGGACTGGTGATGGGCTGCAGAGCCCTGGGCCCTGAGTTAGGGACTGGTGATGGGCTGCAGAGCCCTTTTCCCTGAGCTGGAGATTAGTGATGGGCTGCAGAGCCCTGTTCCCTGAGCTGGAGATTGGTGATGGGCTGCAGAGCCCTGGGCCCTGAGTTAGGGACTGGTGATGGGCTGCAGAGCCCTGAGTTAGGGACTGGTGATGGGCTGGAGATTGGTGATGGGCTGCAGAGCACATTTTAAGTCATGAAATGATCCTCTCTACAATATTACAACAGGAAATCACTGACACCTTCACTGAATTATATCAGGAAACCAGTTTCAATTCAATGG